ACCAGACGTAAATACAAAAATGTTTGAGTTTTGTTTTCTGATCTGGAATTTGCTGCAGACTTTCTCCTACTTCCGTATCTTGGGAGGTTTCAGACGTGTGATGCAAATATGAAGTTGACAATATATCCTAGTGAAATATACTTCTTTTTTTACCTCATGAAATAAAGTGCCGCTATCAGAGCCATGTCTTTTTGGCAGTTTGGGAATTGATCAGTCTCGATCCCAAGCTGCATCCTTGTCAGCTGGCAGGTCTGCTGGAGATGACACATTTAACTGACAGTGCCTTGTCAATGATTGAGCTTGAGTGAAATCCCTAGCTCACTGCCAGAGTCATATCTATCATCTTATTTTTGTCAAATTCGTCACAGAAATCTCTCAGTCTAATTGGTCTTTGAAGTCCCTGTAAGACAAAGCCTGCTAATCTTAGGGTGTGTGTGTGTGTGTGCGTGTGTTTGAACAGCACTTGCCATTGACTACTTCTCTTCTTCTTCTTTGAGCCTGCAAAGTTTGAAAAACACGACAGTCACATTTTAGGTGCTCTGATGTCACACAGTCTTTCTGGCTTAAAAAATAAAGGTTCACTGATATGAGGTTGGGTCTGCTTTGATGTGGGGGTCTCTAGTGATGCGATTTTAGCATGCTATCTGCCTCTGCTGTTCTCTGTCACCCACTCCTGCAAAGACTGACATGGGAGCTGCCAGAGCAGAGACTCAGCCTCTTTTTATTCCTGGTGACTACAAATTAAAGGTACGAAAGAAGGTAAAGCCAGGCAGCACCATGACAAGCAGAATGTGAAAAAAAAAAAAAACTTCTGCAAGCACTTAAATGTAGAATTTAACTGTGATCTGTCTTAATCTTTGTTTAAAAGAAGAAAAATATAGTGCATTTTGGGACCTGTATTGCTAAATGTAAGGAGCCTATTCATTTTTCAAATAGCAGCAAAACAAAGAAATCACTGTTATTCTAATGCATCTGCCAGCTCATTTGCATGAACAAGCTCACCTGCTCTTTAAGAAACCCCTGGAAAGTTTATTTTCTCACTCATTTGCGTTCAGAATCCTCCCCCCTGTACAACTTACAATTTATTTCCTGCTCATTATGCAACATGGTGGTTGCGAGATGCTGGAGTTGCTGTCCTGTGAGAGGGGAAAACGCTCCGTGATAGAGATCTACTAATCTCGTTTTATGCTTATAATGGCGCGAGGAGATCCTCCGCCCCCCCTGCCACGCGGTCGACGCTCACCTGGAGCAGCCACCGGAGCTCCGCAGGATCCTCCTCCGTCTGCGTGTCCTGACAATTGGGATTTAGCGAGGATTAGAGCAGAATATTTCAATTTAGCGCCGGAATGTACCCGCCTGCATGTGCCAAAGTAATTACCTGGCCCCTTCTACAACAAATGCAATTATTCAAACTGTAAAACACACGTGTAGAAAAGAGAGGTTATAATATGGTGTAAGACGAATAAACACAATCCAGAATTTTGATGAAAGCAATTAAAAAAAAAAGTCGCAGCACCCAGAGAGAGGTGATGATTTATTACCCAAATAGGCTAGTCAAAAAGGTGATTTCATTCAAATAAACAGACGCCACTTTTCGTCTAGGCTTTTCTGAAAATGAAATCACGAATTCAAAGGAGAACATTCACATTTGTATATTGATAATTGCAATCTTTGTTCCGAAAACGGGGTTTTATGGACTATTTGATTTTTTTTTTTTTTTTTGGTGCGTTCAATGTCAGAGAGAACAAATCTGAAACGTCTCTCCTCAATATATCGGCAACTGTTGAATGGTATTCTTTTTGCTGAGGTCAGATATCACTACAGTCCCGAATCTGACAAAATACGCCAACGCACGATTAACACCAAATACAGAGAGGATACATTTTATGAGGCTATTAAACATCCATAATCAATATTTGCGATAGTAAATAAAACTCTTTCTGGCGTTTTGGAAACAGGAGGAAGACTGGAGGCGGACCTAGACTATCAAAGAGGCAGTATGGTGATTGTTGTGGGATAGAAGAAAAATAAAAATAGCCTGCCGACAATATTCTCGGAAAAATTGAAGTTATTGTAGGCTACCATCCAACTATCATATCAGGGTTGTAAAAGTAAGAGTTGCATTTTTATTAAAAGTAGAACTCATTAATTGAACACTGAGTCTGCATGATAAAACAGTTTGTATACCTGCTGGTTTAGAAATAATAGTCCTCCTCTGTTCTGCCCGGCTGCATATGTGTGGTGCGTTCAGGGGCTGTATCGAGAGTTCTTTTATGTCTGTCCAATTAACCTGTTTCAGTAAAATCGCCGGAGAACAATACTGTGGCCATGCTGATTTATTCGTTGCTGTCCAGCCCGTTACTCTGTCTGAGTTCGTTTATTTTGTTGCTATTTTTCAATCTTTTTCTCCTAGATCAAAATCTCAAATGAAAATGCAGTGTTCAGAAGTGGAGGCTTCGTGTTCCGACCGTTAACAGGCAGAAATTAAAAAAAGAAGTGAAGATGGTGCTCTTTTTTTTGTCTACAACAACCTTTACGATAAGGGCAAAATCATGTCTTTTGTTCCATGTTATATCAATGCTCATTCACTTTGCTCTTCTTAAATCACCTCTGTTCAGTCTAAGATGCAAGGATGACGAGACAGAGGCCCTGTGTGGGTATATCCCGTGTAAACAGGGCCCTGTGCATTGTGTAAAGGAGGGGGATTAGCCCCTGCTTTTGTTGCATCTGGTGTGTACACACGGACACTGATTCAGCTCTCCTAAAGCCAGTTTGGCCCTCAAATCGTTAAGGACGTCTGACTCACAAACCTGCAGCCGCAGATCCACTAAAGGAGGGACTCCTTTAACGTAACACGGCATTCATCCGCGTGTTAGATCAGCTTCCGATGGGCCAAATGGAGAAAAAAAAACATTGACTCCAGTCTTAGACTCTCCATTGTAGTTTACTAAAAAAAGATTAAAAACAACCTGAGTATAAGTAGGCCTACTTAGTTCTGTACTTATACTCTCGTGTTTGTCTAATGACCTACCCAGTGATAAAGGCATTATGGGATGAAAACTGTTACAAAATCAGCAATTAAAGACGCCAAGATTAATCAGGACATCTGTACAGAAACGCATTGCCCAACTGTCAGGGCACGCTCGCTGCATTTCGAGGTGTAAATATAATCAATTGAACTTTTATATTATTAATTCCAGTATTTGAACCAATTAAGCCAAATCATTTTAATGACTGCTCGATTAGCTGCGGATAACAAGAAGGTCCTCAGAACACATCTGATCTTTTTTTTTTTTTTTATCAATCATCCTGACACGATGAGTCCGGATCAGAGCAGGATGGACTCCTGTCCCTCAGGTGCGCCTCAAAGGGGATTTCTTTTGTTTTCTTACAATGTAGCCTATGCTTTCATTTTGTGAAAACTTTGCGGAATGGGGTTCTATCTTTTATTCACATGTTTTTCTAAAATGAAATAGAAAACGTTCCCTCCGAGACCGTTGCTTTCAATGAAACGCAGATTTTTGAGAAGAAAGAGGAAACTTTATTAAGTCGGACACCAATTAGACCTAATGTCGAACTGATCAAACATCAGGAACCTTTGATCAGGAAAATGACTCAAAATGTTGATTGGAAAAAACAACTTCAATGCGGATTATCTTTTAGAAAACGGAGTGACCAAAGTGAAGCAGGAGGCCTGCAGGCCCTCACTGTGGGAGTGATGTGTGTGTGTTTTTTCCATTATTCATCCACCTGTAGCTCCCACGCTGCTGATGCATTTAGCCTTTACTTCCGCTGAAAAGAACAAATAGCAAACGTTTCCATTTGTTGGAAGTCGTTTGACTCCTTGAAGCTGTTTGTTTGTTGATTAATAAAAAATAGATCAAAATCTGTTGAATTTTATTCAAACCGATCGGTTTCTATTATCCCGAATGACGTTATGCGTATGCTATATAGAATACACAAAGGCTATTAACATGCATCCAGAGGCTTCATTTTAATTTAAAAAAGAAATCCGCTAGATTTTGTTCTTGTTTATTCTATTTATGCTTTTTGTTTTCGCTCATTAAAACTGACACAGCCAAAACAAACGGATGAAGCTCAAAGCATCAAAGCTTCAACCAAATTTCAAATTGCAAATGTCATAAGTCGATTTAGAAAAAAAAAAAACTTTCTCATGCTAAATAGTTGTCCACTATTCGTTCTTGACCATATATTAAAGACATCCTTATTTAATACAGTAATAATAATTCACTCATATCGTCGTTATATAAATAGCCTAGGTCTCATCGACGAGAAGCGCGCGCTGACTGACTTTGATCAGGCTTTTAAAAAGGAGTTCAGAAGATGATATCTTTTCAAAGGGGAGAACATTTTGTCACTGTTTCTTTAATTTTATTAAACTCATTTTTTCTTTTATCAAAAAAGAAATGAAACGCATATCAGGAGCATTGTCACAGCATTAAGGTTTGAACAAAGTGAAGGTCTAATCAGCTTCAGCAGACACATACAAGCCACATTCTTTATGGCTGGTCTGAGTATTTATTCTGTCTGAAAAAAACTCCTCATGCAAAGTTTTCTTCAGAGTGGAGCAACTGAACAAAAAAAACTGTATTTACTTAATTAAGAAAAAATAACAAAATATCTGTATCCAGGAATCTCTCTATTGTTGTTATCAAGCACTTTACTTAGCCTACTTAAAATGTGCACAGATGGTTATAAACAGTAATTCTCCCCCCTGTCTTTACATGTGGTACAAGGTTTTCATTATACAACACTTCCTCTTTGTTTAGTGAGAGGCACGATGTCTGATTGTCTGTTCCTCTGAGATATACACACTCCTGTCCAACAATCTGGGGAAATCATAGAATATCAGAAACTACTTCAAACACCTTATGAGTCACTGATGCAAAAGAAAAAGAAAACCTTAATAATTAATGTTTGGAAGCCTGTTTCTGCAAAATAAGTAAAATTTTAAAGTGGAAATATTTGTATTCCCATCAGGGTCCTTTAAAGACGTCCAGAAGAATATGACCAGCAGCAACATGAGGCAGAATCAGGATAGACCAATCATCCAAAAGTGACAGTAAGACATATTCATTAATAGTTCCACAGGCTACAAAGAAGGAGCAACTTTCAGAGTTACCCATTTTTATACATGAAACTCAAGAGAAACTTTGGATTCAATTGATGACAGGGGATGATGCGTATCTTTTGAAACAGAGGATTCCAGGACACACACTGAAGAAAGCTCATGGACTGTTTCAGTATCTTACTTGACTTTTTAGATTTACAGACAGGTTCTTTTAATTAATTAGTCTGCTGATAGATATTTTTACATGTCTAATTTTACAGTATTCACTGTCTGTGGAGTTAATTGTGTCTAATTGTGTGTGTGTGTGTCCAGGAATGTGTGCGCTCGTCGTAGTTGTCTTTTTGTCTGTGCTTCCATGTGTCCATGTGTGCCAACGCTTGTATGTGCCCATATGTGGGTGTGTGAGTGCTCCACTGTTACTATGTGCCTGTGTGTGTGTGTGTGTGTGCCCATGTGTGTTGTATGCAGCCTATTAGTGGAGTTTAACCCCTGTGTTCAGGGAGTCACATCCCCTCAACACACCAGTCTCCATTCTTGCAACAGCAGCACGTTAACATTTTACTCTCCTCCCTCCCCACCCACCCCCTTCACTTTTGTCCTAAGAGGGCAATTAAGGAAACAAACGTTTTCCCCAAGATAAGCTGGCTGCCAGCTTTGCATACTAATGTAATGCCAAGTGGTTACAAATAGTGAGTGCTCTAATTACCAGCACTGTTTTCAATCAGAAATTGCTCAATTTCCCAGGATGAGGTCTCCATGGCTGGAGAAAAAAAGCACAACCTGACAGAGGCAGGAGACAATCATCCCTGTGTAGAGTGTGACTGATTTTTTATGTGTGTGCTTGTGTGTGCACAAGTGTTGGTGCAAATAAGCTCATCTGCCCCTGTGTGTGCAGACCTGGGTACAACCCTCTCCATCATTGCTGCCCTTGACAAGTCAAGAAATGGATCCTGTCAGCCTCTACAGCATTTAGCACCACAATTATCCTCTTTTCACAGCCAGGCTGCATTAATGTAAACCACACCAGGCTGTGGTTGCCACTCAGTGATGAGCACAATGTGGTGCACCTTCTCTGGGCGCACAAATTGATGCAATTGTGTTTCTTTGTGATCACCAGTGCAAATCGCGGCCTGCCTATTTATTAAGCAATTTCGTCTGGGGGAAATCAAAAGGATGGTTCTTTTAATTTGGCGAGAGATAGCAATATCTCTTAAAGCAACATAATGTAGCTGACATCAAACAAAAAAACAGGGATATTTGAGTGCTCATCAACCTAGCAGGGAGGGGCCTTCTATTCTGAGAGGAATGGTTATGGTCATGAGCAGAGGGCAGCACAGACCACAGTGACAAGGACTCACTCCCTGGGTGTGAGGCAGACTCACTCCATAGGATGAGCACACAGGACCCATCGGTTGGCCTTAGCTGACCTTTAGCTCTGACAGTGGCTAATGGAGGGCTGGCCCTCGATCAATGCACCGAGAGACCTGGCTCCCCATCTCTGCCCTTTCACCGCGGCCAGGAAGAAGGGAGGGATGCTGCCAGAAGCCACGCCGCGGATCCATCGACCCCGCCGCTCTCCTATTCTACGGGTGACAGCTGCAGTGCCAACGAGCCTGGGGACGCCACGCTGCCCTGCCATGTAGGAAGGACAGCCAGCAACTCCATCTCTGTTGAGGCGGGAGGGAAAGTCAATGATGATCTGTGACTAAATATACTGTATGCTCTTCTCTAGAGCCAGAGACAACACAAACAATAGTTCACATATTATAACTCGAGAGGGTCGTTCAGCACCAATATCTTGGTATCTGGCTGGATCAACAATTTACATTTGAATTTCACATTAATCCTCAAACCATAAAATTAAGCAAAGAAATTGTACACAAACTAAATTTCCCTATGCTCTGTTGTTAGTACATTATTGAAGCCATCTTCCCCCACCTCCATCCTAAAATAATTTGACTCAGTTTATCAGGCTGCCCTCAGATTTATCCCTAGTGACCGCTGTCTTCTCATCATTGCATCCTGTATCATAAAGTTGGTTGGAGACATTAACAGTGAGACATGACAGACAGTGGCAACTATTTATTCATTAAGCTCTCACCAGAGATCTACCACAATGCATCACTTCTTTATCAAACTGGACTAATACTTGTTAACAAACTCACTCAAGCGACTGGCAAATCGTCGAGTAAACATTAAAATTGGGAAAACATCCTTTATCTATTGTGCTGCGGACACTGGAACAGGTTACAACAAACTCTAAAAACTCAATACCACTGTTGCCATGGGTCAATTTAAAAACATAATTACATACTCTGCTGGTTTGTTTGTTTTTGTTTTTGGTTCTGACTCTCAATGTCATTGAAAGTGAGGACATGCCTTCTATGATTTGTGAGATTAAAGAGAGGCTGAATAAAAGAATGAATGACAGATGCAATCAAACAACCGCATCCAGCTATTGAAACCTTGTTCAGAGTTGTCACAAGCTTGATGAAAATGGCCTTTCATCAAACTCATGCTTTATTTTTAAAGATATATTGTACTTAATTGCTTTAGTAGTTTGACCAAAAGTTGGAAACTCCTGTAACCTATGTCATTAAAAAGTTAAAGTTGGTCAATATAGCCCGACTCCCACTCAACCCACATCAGACGTAAGAACTTGTGTTTGCAGTTTTTTGTTCTTGGCATTTGTTGTTCACTTAAAAACCTTACCTTGGGGAATATATTTCCTCTGGCAGCACCATGTTCCTAAGATGTGCCTGATGTTGTGCTTGCTGCTTGTAACCCAGATGGTGCACCACTGTATACCTTTTATCAGAGCAGCCTTTAGTCAGAAGACAATACTTGCATAATGACACAAAACAGTATTTATTGTGAATTTCAATTGCATAGTCTTCGATTCAAACACAAAAAACAATGGCGGATAAAACAGTGATTCCATATGGAGAGAGAAGAGAGGAAGACATCCGAGAGGCTTAGCACAGATTGTTCTTTTTATTATCATTAACAGTAATGTGATTCTGAAGCCCCTTGTGACCCCCGCACAGCAGCACCTCATCTCAGCAGTCATTCATTAGAACAAACAGAAGGCAGGCAGAGAGACAGCGCGAAAAGAGACGTGGGGAGAGAGCAGAGTGTAAAATAAATTAGATTGTTCTTATTACACAAACCAGTTTTCAGATGATAAAAAAAAAGACGCATCAGAAATTCAAAGGATATCTGAAAGTATGGCATTTGGAGATGGAGATGTCATGGGAGGCCCATGATCCAGTTGTTGGGTGTTGTGCTATGTGTGTAATCACAGTTACACTTACTGTCCACTTTGGATTGTGAGGCCTGCAGGGAGCCGTGAAAAATGAGTCTGAGAAATGTGTGTGTGTGTGCATGTGTGTGGATTGAGATTGGGCTTCAGTGTTTCTGCGCACTGATGCGGGCTGTGGTGAAACTAATCAAAAAGCCTCTTATGTCCTCTTCCTCTGATATAAATGGATTGTACAGTCTTTCCCTGATGATTTGGTGCAGTGTTTACTGAATAAGAGTTTTTACACTGGAGTCACAGTAAAGGCCACCTCTCTCAATTAAGCCCCCCTGGCTGCTTTTCCTATGAGAGCAGGCGTTTCTTCACATCCTCCCCCTGTTGCTTCTTATCTCTCCAGGCACGTAAAGGTCCAAATAACCCACCTCCATACATGCTAATGTGGATGTACACATATGTGAGGATGAAATATAGCAGGGTTGGGCGCAGAGTGGTCAGGGGCTCTGTTTGGGCCGGGGTGACAGAGGATGAGGAGGAGATGTGGGGGGTTGGGGGGGGGGGGGGGGTGGTTGAAGTGAGCCGTGTGGAACCTTGGAGTGGTGTGACAGACTCCCCAGCCTCCTGGTAGGATTTGTTGGAATGTGAGAGAGGAGGATTTTAGCACCAGGCGAGCCACGCCAGAGTGCTGCAGACTTCATGCCATCTGTCTCAGCCTCCATCCTCTCTTTGCCAAACCCGTCAGACCTTTATTTCCTCTCCCTCCAGCTCCTTCTCATCCCTGTTCACAAGAGGAGCGGACATACTGAGATCTGCTAATGTATTGGAGGGGGGGAAAAATGGCTGGGCTTAATAGACGGATTCAAAAAATCCTCGATTGATTAACATGTATTCTTGGAGCTGATTGTCCGACAGCCCTCATGGAGATAAAATGTGTGTTCGATAGCCCTGCCATTTGTTACTTGACCAACGGGAAAGAAAGAGAAAGATTTTCATACCATAGCAGTTTTGTTGATCAGTTTTTAATAAAAAGCCAAAAAGGTCATTTAACTTTATACATATTTAAGAACTATGATACAAAAGTCCATACAAGTAATAGCTTGTTACATTTAGAAAAAGGATGCTATATGTTGGGGTTATTTGCACATTTTTTTTTATGAATCAACCAATCCACCTGATACCTGTCAGTAACCTCGCCAAAAAAAAATGAAATAACCCAAACGCATCCATGTTGAGTAATATGCACCTTTAGGCAATGGCTGAATCAAAAGCAGGATCTTACATCAAATGTGAGGTTGTGTGTTGTTTGGACGGATCTGATCTCTCACCCTTTCTCCCTGTGTGGGCGACTAGGGAGAAGGCAGAAGGGTAGATCACAGGGAGGAGCTGTACCGGCTCCATGTCCTTAACCTGCTCCCAGAAGGGCATCTGAGAGTGGAGGGAGTGGAACGGAAATGTACCCTCTGTCCGAAAAAAAAAAAAAAAAAAGCACCAGGTGGCAGGAAGTGGGCAGGAGGTCTTTGAAGCTGACGCCTCACGGCCTCTGCGATCGATCCGGTCTTAGGTTGCAGGGAGGGGAGCCAGGTGCCCCCAGAGGACCTGCAGACCACGCAGATCTATAATGGGCAGAGGAGGAGAGACAAGTCAACTGGGGCCCGGCACCACTGCTCCATCATGGCTCAAACAGCCAGAGTCAACTGGCTGCATCCTAACAAGCAGGCGCACACTGACAACAGTCTGTTGCAACGGCAAGATGGACGGGCACGTTCGTCACATGAGAACTTTGCAGAATTCCGCCAAATCTGTGTAGACAACATTGCATAATGTGTATGAGAACATATACAAGCAATTATGGCATGTGTTACTAATTACATGCAGCTTTTACACAATACAGCCACAGATTGCGTTAAACGACTTGAGAGACTTCTGCAGAAGTTGTGGGCTGAAAATATAATGCAAAAACACAAAACAAGATTCAGTGATGTTATTTAACAGTTAGAGGAAAGAAACATCAAAAAGGAACACAAACGCCACACAAAAGCAGAAAATTAAATCAGCAGATGTGATCGTGGGGAGCTGCGAAGTGCTAAATCGCTAACATTGCTTTGAAATTATTGAAAAGGAAAAAAGAAAAAACAGAAAATACTGAACAGCCATTGTGAGCGTTGGGGTGCCTGAAACAAGGTATTCAGGGATGAAGCTGAAATAATGAGAGAAATCAGTGAAAAATCCATATCATAAGTAGGTCCTGTGTGTCTGTGTTTAGCTGGAATGGCACAATGAGTTTTCAGGGTGCTCCAGGATTTTGTATTTTGTCCAGATTTGGAGGAGGTGAGTGCTATCAGTGTCTTTGCGCTCTTCCCTCTGTATTTGTAGGATGTTTGCTGCACACATCATGCAAGCAAACACACACATGCAAATTCACTTAAATGCACAAACAGAAAGTCTAATCCTGACCCCCTCCCTCTCTTCTTCCTCACTCTGCTTCCCTCCTTGGGCATGGAAATGAAAGCTGGGCACTCAGAATGTATGGCTGGAAGAAATGAAGACATGTCTGATTTCCACGTCAGCCAATGATGATGCAGCGCCCCTCACTCTCTGCCCTCTGATAGGTCTTTGTCGCTCTCTTCATCTCAGAGGCCCCCATGTCATTCCCTCTAATCCTCCCCCTCCCCATCCCAAACACAAACAGGCCAATCCTGAGACATGGCTCAGGGGCCGGGGGAGGGATGAAGGAGCAGAGGCAAAGGCAAGGAGTGAGGGAGAGTGAGGGATGTAGTTCAGGAGGAGAGAAAGAGGAGCACCAGAAGCTGATGTTTGGTGTGAGAGGGAGCCTGTGTGTTATTATTAATAAAGCATTAAAAAAAAAAAAGTGAGCACATCAAAGCATACAGGGGCTATGCTATCATACATGAAAGTGATGCACTATGGCTTAATGTTTCCTAAGGCATGTTATGGTGACGCTGCTTTGATTTGAAATGCATTGTGTGGAAAATGGATTTACAGGAGTGGGGAGAGAAAGCCTGGTGTGGGAGCAGACCATAATTTAAAACCTGACCTCATAGACTCTTCAAAGTCTCACTGAGTGTGAATATCTGGGACTTATGTACTGTATGTGTGCGAGACTTAAACTACAGCTACAAACAGCAAATGCACACATGTGCGGGATATGGATGTCATCTGGAAAACATGAAATGAGCAATCACTGTCACACACAATTAAAAATGCATCGTTCCACATTTTGATCATTAGCAATGATTGGAACTAATTTTCACTTCTTTTCTTTCCAGTGTGGCACCTGATTATTCAGCACTCCGTCCTTCTTCAGTGAAGGCCTGCGGGAAGCGAGACATCTTCCTCATCATTCCCCTGTGGCCAGGTAATTATACTAATCTACCTTCCTCCTGTGCTGGAGCTCCTGTGCCACACTGGCTCGGACCACCTCTGTGGCTTCATTATCAGAGGAGGGACTCACTAATGGCTCCACGGCCTCGCTGTGCAGGCTGCTGGCAGAGAAAACAGGGGGAAAGGAAAAGAAGAAGATGGAGGAGGAGGAGGAGGAATAGAAGAAGAGAGAGAAAAGGGGAGAAAAATGAGACGCTAAAAAGTCTGCCCTGAAGGTTAACATCTCAATCATGAGGGACAATAATCGTGTGTCCAACAGCTTTGGCTCGGTAAAAGTCATCATTCAGAGATGAGGATGAGGCTCCAGAGCACCATGGTGTCAAAGAGGAAGTAAGAAGATCAACATAAATGATCTCCTCAGGGCAAAATGACCATGAAATGTGTGTGTTTGAGGTAACAGATCGCCATGTCCTCATGTCCTCGTGCGTCCCTTACACACCCCCACCTTGCATGTTTGAAACACTTATAACCTCACAACATACAGACGGACTGGGGGTGGGAATCCTGTTTTTTTTCCCCCCCGACAAATGACACCCTGACAGTTGGAAAAATGTTGGGGTCCCTGAACAGATTTCTCAGTTACAAAAATAAAATGTGTTGGAGTAGACAAAGACAGACATTTTTACATTCTACTTTTGAACCCCAATGAGAGCACTGACAAATGCCACCCCACCCCCTCTCCGTCTGTGCCATGATTGTTTTTTTCTCTCGAGAAATGTCATATACTTAAGAGGTGATAATTCTATATGGCACAAACAGACACTGGCTTCTTCCAAGTGTACATAGCATATAGGCTGACACAGATTGAGATGGTGCAACATGTCTTTGCATCACTCTAAATAGCCATGATGGCTTCACTCATACTTTATGTACTCAGAGAGTCGATGGAAAACTTTGTTTCGAAATGGATGAGGAACTCAAAGGCAATGCTCTAGAAGTAAAAATGAATAAATATAAACATATATATATATTTAGATGTTAAATTTACTGCAGTGTAAGTGATGTGTGAAATATATAGAAAATCTCCTGTTTCTGTGTAGGTGTAAAAGCCTACATGCGGGAAACTGCATCAATAAACAGCATACCAAACCCCCTGAGAGCTGGTGTTAACATATTCAGTTTGGAAAGAGCAACAGCCAACAGATCATATGTTAAATAAATATTTAAAAAATGCTGATTGACGCCAGTTTCAGTAAATATATACTATTACTATATTATGAGCGTCACTCTCTAAATTTTTACATTCAAATATCCAACTGGAATTAAGCATACTTGTGTGTGTGCTTAAAAGGATAAGTAGAAGAATTCACCAATTTTAAGGTTCAAAACTTGACGCACAACACAACTGTAAGTGTGTAAGTGCCACTACAGTGGAGTACTCTCATTTTGTGATGTATTATAAATGTGTAGGTGGGTTTGCATCAGTTAAATGAGTAAACTTTTTTATACACCTCCACACAGGCATATCCTCTTTTCCTGGAAGAAAACTAAACTGCACTTTTTCAGCCAGGCAGTTTTGTGATAGAGAGCAAATAATCTGTGAGCAGACACACTAAGAAAGCTCTAAGCACTACAACAATAGTCCCTTAGGCAGGACTACCATGCCTAATGATTTTATCTACCTATGAGAAGGTAATCATACATGTATATATAAATAGAGAGTCTCTTTTAGCAGCAAGTGACTTTGGAGTTAAAGGGTACGTTCAACAAAAATCCAATAAAGCCAGACTGTCCCTTGTCTTTAGAAACAGCTAGCAATAGAGCCTCACCCCTATTCAGAAAATGTCCTTCATGTAAAGCAGGTCATCATAAAGCCTTTCATGGTGCGGTCTTTGGATTACAATGGAGGACATTGTTTTAGAAAAAAAGACTGATCTTTTGATTTATTAAAATGTAAATCAAATTTCATTCAATTCTATTGTTTGTGGAGGCAGATGTTTTGGATATGAATATCTCAAAATCTGGTTTGTGAAACCACATGTCATTGTATTGCTACACAGCACTGGAGGCAAATAAGAAATATGGTTATGAAATAATTAATACTGTGTTCTCATGCAGAGACTGCTGTTTTGGCCGCTACTGGAATTGAAATATTGCCTTATAATTGAACATGAAAGTATATGTCATTCTTTAAGAGTAGCAGAAGAGAGATCTGGTGATGGTATAATTCACAATGATAAAGTATAAATGTGTAAAGTGGTATTATTAGATGAACCTTGCCTGTGTTAAAACATTCTGTGTACACACTGCTGGGAATGGTGCTGTGCAGCATTTCCCTCAGTGCTGCTGATGAAGGCTGAAAAATTAACTATAAAGATCTAATGAGAGAAAGTAAAAGCTTATACTCAGAATTACATGATGAAATAAATGTGCAAATGACTCTACCATGTACAGTGGGCTATGTAATGCAACATGTGCACTCTAATGTGTTGACCTAAATTATTGTACAGATCATATTATGCCGCAGTTCAACTGTGCAAAATGTTACAAAAATGCACTTTCAAAGAGTCACTATTTACCATGTAATACATAAGATTGTTAGAATTACTGTGTATTAAAGTCATGTTTTTACTAGATTACAATACATCAAATATAGACATTCTAAGCTTAGGCAACATAAACATCATACTCAATACAAACAAATACTCAATACAAAAAATTGGACTTGAATGGGAGCCAACTGTAAGTTAGTTCTGCCTTAAAAAAATATATATAAAATGGTCAGATTGGTGCTTTGATGTTATTGGCAATTTTTAAAATGATACTTTATGATAGAATAACTAAAACCTCAACATGGCTATGACAGTAATTATTGAAAAAGTTCCAGTTTAGGGTGCCTATATTTAGTGTGTATATAAACGGATGATTTGAGGTGACAGTCAATATGCACGCTAAGGGCTCAGGAGAATATTAATACTCACTCCACCTAAACATTGTTGTCAGACTCAGATGGCACATGCAGCTATGAGAGGGGTATAGCACTGTGTGGGGTTTGATAAGCATGCTTTATTTTTTGTGACTGGGGTAATGTGATGATAGTTGATGCTATAACTGTCTTTTTTTTTTTGCACAGGATTCTGAATCAGAAACGTGCTAGGCCTATAAATAAATGGGTTACTGGGGTGGAAAGTATTAGCTTCAAATGTTTCTTTTTTCTCACCCTTTTAGTTTAAAAGATGGTGAGCGGTACAGGGAACCTTTTTTTGCCCTTCAAGGTCATAAGTCTGCTTGAGCATTTCTCTCTGTCTTTGTGGTAGATCACAACCTTTTGTTTATCATCTTGTGTCATGCTCATAACTATGTGCCTTTTCTGCTTCAGGTCTTGTGCTGAGCAATGCCACTATATAGCCTTGAATACTGTGAGGTAATGAATGTAACACTTGCCAGTGTGTAAAGTGTACGCAGAGGAGGATCCAGGCAGAGGAGGATCCAGACAGATGAAGGCAGAGGTGGGACCGTTTCTTCACAGGTCTTTCACATGTAACAACCCAAAGCGTAGTCACTTCCTTAAACGGATCATGGAGAAATGTATAAAAAGAAAAAAAAAAAGAAAACCCTGCTCTTCTTCTGCAGCTTTGCTTTGACAAAACCAAAATAGGCTCCAGCTAGTAGGACGAGTGTTCGTCACAAACAAGCATCAGTATAACAGATGAAACATGGGTTTTCTTCTCTTTAAAGGGCGCTGAAATGTACACAAATAGCACTCTTGCAAACTAGAGTTGGCAAAACACTGTCACTGAAAATGTTTTGCAGTGTTTTGATTAATTGCAGTCTGTGTCTTTATGTGTGCTTGTACAAAAATAAGGTGTAGTTGCTAAATTGCTGCTGACATGTTGTGAAAAGTGTCTTTAGCTAGTGTACAGATATGAGCAACAAAGCCAAAATAACTCAGATGATACTTTATATATATAGTGTATGCAATTTAAAAAATATATATTAAATTACACTGAGTGTGAAAGTTTCCTCCAAATCCTCTAAAACAATGGTTACACAAAAATAATCTCGCTCTCGAAAGTACTTTTTTTTTGTCTTTTCCATGAGCTTGATGCCCTCTCAGCTTTTATATTTCACCACATAGAAGGTTGTGCCTTATTTCTTACGATTTCTTGTATTTTGAAGAAAATTTCTTTCAACTGGACCCTGTTTGCTACTGAATTTAATGTATGAAACTTGAGACACCTTGTTTTCTCTTTCTGATGGCAGCTGCCCAATTGTTTACAATATATTATATCATAGAAATCCAACGTATGATACTGAATGAAGAATTGGGCAAGGTACAAAATATATATCATTTACAGGTACCTTTATTTATCTATAATATTGAAGTTTTATTTAAAACTCTACTTTATACTTTAACCTCCATAGTCCAATGGAAATCAAACACTTTGTGTCAGAACATTGTTTTTGAAGCTATAGTTAGATATTAATTACATGTTATTTATTGTCTTGTGAAAAAGATGAACAACAAATAAGATGGCAAAGTAAAAATCAGATCCACTTCATTTAAAAACATTAAAATGATTCTAACATGTTGCATCTGCATCCACTATATGGAACGATCATAACACACGTCATTTTTTCTGCATAACGAGTACTTTTATTTTCAATACTTGGAGCATAATTTGCTGAAAATACTTCTGGACTTGATGTAATATAAAGTAAAATATTTTGACTTTGGTGCATTTCATCTTTTACCTTCAATAAAGCCTGTGAAAACTTATTCCACTGTGAATATTGAATCAACTTCTGAGACTAGAGTGTTTCATCCTTTATAAATATTGGCTCATTAATAAAGGAATGGTGTCACACATTGCTGTTTTGCACTATTTGTTATTGTATGTCAAAGTCATCATGTTCAGTTTTACAGAGGATGCAACTTTTAACATTATATTCTTCTTGTAAGAACTGTAATCCATGCTTGGATTAAAGGTAAAGGATTTTCAAAGTGAGATGCTCTTTAAATCCAGATCATTATAGAGCAATGCATGCTGACCCGTTTACACGGAAAAAAAACATGTTTATTTCGACTTCATTGCGACAATGAGGAAACTGTATCAAGCCCCGCTCTGATCCCCATCTTACGCAGTGTGCCAGGTGTGCTTTTAACTTTCAGAGGGGTCTGTTAGTCAAACAATGGGAGAGCATTAAAACATGCCAATAGAGGAGTATTAGTCAACAGACTGAGTCAATACACCCCACTGGGCTGCATGTCTACCTACAAACACAAGCAATTGCTTTAGAAGGCCTCGTCACTGGATAGAAACATCAATTACAGTAAATTACACCAAAACAGAGTGTAACACTTCAATTTGTTAAAGCTCCTGAGCTCTCTGAGCTGTTTTGGATGAAAGCAGAGCAGAGCACTGGAGTAAGATAACATTCAATAGCCCTGAGATACATTGCCCCATCAATCCTGGGTAGTGAATAGAGTGAGGGAGTTATTTACATTTTCATCCCTGGGACTTACTTCGAAAGCTTTTCTAAACACGGGGGACCAGATCAAATTATCCCTTTTCCTGTGCAGCCTAGTTTTTAAATGCACATTTCAAAATAAGAGCACTCTGTCGCAAACATGACTTTTAGAAACTGTATAATCTCAACTGTGTGCCCACTTTTCTGTGGGCACTGGGACTTTTATCAATTAAAATTTTGTTTTTTTTCCTGTTTAGTTGGAGTTTATAAAGTTGAAAACATCCAACACGACAGGGATAAAGGCAATTTGTGTTTTATTAAGGCTTTTATTTCAAAGTCCTAGGACAGAGGTTGATAAATGCTGCACTAAGACGACATGACACAAAGGAAACAAAGGATAAAAACACCATTTTAGTTCACAGAATCTCTTTCCAGCAGATAAAAAAACCCACAAATGACAGCCTACCAAAGGTAGCAACTCTGCTGTAAATGGAAAAAAAAAGAAAAGAATAAACGCCCAATTTCAACCAAACTTTGTAGTGCTTCAATGACTTCCCTTGCTATGGTTGATTATCCAGGAGGGGTGTTGGTTGCTGGGGACAGATGAAGATTTGGCTGTTTCGGGGAACATTTTGGGAGGGAGGGGGCTGGAGTAAATGAAAGACAAATGCGAGTAGTGCCCACTCAGCTATTTTCCCAGTCAAGATCAAAGGCACGCCGGACTGGCCGCTCCACGGGAAACTTGAGATGGGTCCTGCCTTTGTTTGCAGTTGCTAGGAGACCTGCAGAAGGCTGAAAGTGTTTGCAGTGGGGTACAACATCAAAACCATTTCCAATATAAATTTTTAAGACAGCCATGTATTTGTGTCCTGGGCTTTCCATTTACAGAGTACAAAAACTGACTCATCCCTCTGTTAGTCATGGCATCATTTCATTGGTGTTTGTTTAAAAAAGAAAAGTTGGTACAGGAAATTACACATGCACACTTTTCAAAAAGGCACTTGTCAGTAGATTGAACACTGTGTATAATATCAGTGCTTAAGCATTGCCATGTTGATGCACAACCACCAAATAGCTGTAAAAGCAGGATTAATACAGTTTTGGCCCAGTGCACTAACACACAGCATGTAAACAACTTAAATATAGTTTGATATATTTATATGCCCAGCTTTGGCTTCACCAACGAAGCTAATTACAATGCTGCTATGTATTAATGGGCCCCAAGATAGTAAGGGTGGCTAGACATGTGTCACAGAGAGCTCATTACATATCATTAGTTCAACACTCCAATAATGTCTACACCTGCTGAGCAGCAGATAATGACTTGGCCCCTGATATTTGCAGGACTATTGTCTACCGTGCAAAGCACCACCAGGAGGATAGGTGCACAGGCTGGAGAGCAGCAGGAAAACTGATAAAGCTATACAATAAGGGAGGATGCACACTGTTTTATTTGTTGTACGCTACAGTAAATGTGGCGCAGTAAAAAAGAACTCGGCATATGTTTGGTTTTTAACTGAAAGGGGAATAGTTTTTACTCATTAATTGAAAAATCATGGCAAGACTCTCATTAACCCACATTCCAACTATCTCTACAAACTGTTATTGTATTATAATACAAGTATAAATAAATACAAGGGAAATGCAAGACAAATACAAGTTTCATATGCAACTAAATAAACTCATTCCTCACCGTATGTATACATATAATGGACATGTTAAATTCCTGGTTACTTGGTCAATGGAGTGGCTCTTGCTCTCCAAGTGTTACATAACACTGAACACAACATGCATGGATAACTTGACCTCAATCTTTCCCACTTAATTTGAGAGGAAAATCCAGATTTTAATAGTCTATAGGGCTAAATCTTGAATTTTACTCGGCTAAATAAACAAATTAAAAAGCAGGTAGAGTTGTGGTCGGATGCCAATTGATTTAAAGATAGGTTTGTTAGTTATATTGATTCTGTCTTGTGACTAATGGGACACGTAAAAACTGCAATCGCCACAGAAGTGACCTTCGTGTCTGGAACGATGAAGATTAGAATCGTGCTGTGTCTGCCTTGTGTTTTCACTACTTGAGCCAACTGGCACAGCACTGGCGTCCTCTCCCGGGCTCCCAGTCTGCCATGATGACAATGGCAACCAGCTACCGCATGGCATGTAAAAATGACAAAGCAAGCCAAGGGATACTTGGAAGATGCAAGGATAATACAACACAACATGATCAATCGCTCTGTTAAGGAAACGGATTCCTGGACATTGCTATTGCAAGCCACTTTGCATTTCTAGGACATCAGCCTCTTCATCCAAGTTGGGCGTGGGCTACGGTTTCTTTCCAATGAGCTCTTAAAGAGGCAATTTCTAGATGTAAAGAGGAAATTAGGTTCTTTGAGCTTGTATCCTCCGAAGGGTTGTATTTCTTCAGAAAGAAGTAAAAAATGGCCTACATTCAAGTGTGCCAGCTTAGTTGCTGTGTCCTGCCATAACCTGCTTAATTCAATATGTGTGCTAGAGCAGAGAGCAGGCAGTGTTCAGAAGGCAGACAGTGACATGACAAAACAGATTCAACATCTAAATATCTTTGTCCACAGCTGAGGAGGAGGGTTTGTCCTCTCTTTCACAGCAACCAGATATCCATTCCTGTTTCAGAAATGTTTACTCTTTGCTCCCAAATCCTGCATGACAAGTGTTTATTCTAGCTTTCCCAACATGTTTTTTTTTTTTTTTAGAAAGATATGGATATGGATTTTAGAGGAATAATTACCAATATGGCAATCGATACAGTGAACTTTCTAGATAAGGTGAGAATAAGTCTTTGGTTTAAGAACTGATTTTGCACCAATATGATAATGCAAAGGTATCGAGGATGCTGCTTTCTTGAACAAATACTGGATTAAACAATAATAAACAATGTTTTACAAGTCAATAAGGTCTGGTGAAACCGCTGTCCGTTTAGCAAGCTGTGATGCTATGTTACATCTCACAGACAAAATGTACTGTAAAGTATTGTAAACGATGGAGTCCACGAGGGCTCTGCTGGATAGTTTGATATTCTTAATCGCATTCTCGATTCTACAAAAAGTTATCGTATTTGTGTGTTGAAGAAAGCACAGAAGCCAATACAGATATATCTTTGTACATCGGCCATGCACAACTTGATCCACACTTTGACTGGTGTGCATGAAAACAGGTGCTTTAGCTGAAGCTGATTTATCACTGAAAAGAACTTGAATTAGTTTTTGATTGAGAATGACTTTGTTTCATTTGGCGGCCACCTACCCCTCAGTGGTATAATTCACGATCAACACAGACTCATATCTGGTCCACTTAGTTTGCCAAATCTCTGGCTGCACTCATGACTTAACTGGCGGCAGGCTGCTACTCAGTAGGGCTCAGAAACTTGGTTGATTAAACTATTTTTGAATTTTTTTACTATTTTACAATACAATATTTATCTGAAAACTATTGTTCATTGTTTCCTTTTTCTGCAAAGAGCTAACGCAATCAATAAATCATCTTGAAAGAATTGATGAATAATAAAGACTTTTGTAGCCATCAGAAGTTGCATACATAACAAGCATGGAAATGAACTATAAAAGCCTTGAAAGGATCTGTTTAAAGTTGATGTAGGGCCTGATCTGATGATCATTAATGCTAACTAAGGAAATTTAGACTTTTTTGATATTCCATCCACTAATGTTTTGATTTCAATGGACAGTTTCCAGGGTTGTGATATAAATTCTATCAAATTGACATAACATGTCAACAATAAAATACACATAAAGCTTTAATTTATTTTTCTGCACCACTTAAAATTATAAGTTTGTTGTGTGTGTGTTCTGCTTCAAAGCCTTGACAGGTCTGAATGATAAGTTAGCACAGTAGCCCTGTAGACGCTTCCCTAAACAGTTCACCTCTGTTTTGGGGATGACTGCTGCCTGAACTCTGTACCCCCACTGAGACAATAAAACGGCTGGATGACTATGGGACTAGCAGAAAGGCCGACAGTTTATAACTCCAGAGAGGCGAAGCTATACAGCCCGTGTGAAGATAAAGATTTAGTAACGCTGAGAGATTGGAATTCTCTCGGTCTGAGGTCAGACGGCCAACGTTACCTTTCTACATTCCCCGAGGGCGTACACAGAGGAGACACATCGGGCAGGAGCTGGACCTAACAGCTTGAGACAAAGGAGGCGACACAGTCAATCAGAGGACTCATCATTCCAGCCCATAATTGCTTACTAAGATTGTAAATGGGATTTACTATCTTTAGTGAGGAGAACATTGAAGGCAGGCTCCTGCATT